GCAGCCTGGAGCGTGGCCACCGTGCCACCCTTCCTGACTGCCTGGCTCTGGATGACCGCCCAGCGCTGGGCCTCGAGGTCCCTAGGCTGGCTGTGGACGGCATCACTGCTGTTGTCCAGTTGGTAAGCCCTCATCTCCTCATCCTCATCTTCCCAGTACAGTGACCTCTGGGACGGCTGGCCAGGGAAGACGCGTCTGGTGAAGGCTGCACTTGTTCTCCTCACATCCGGCCTGGTCTGGTACTCAGCGGACCAGGCCTGCACATCCTCCTGGCTCCAGCCAGCTTCAGGCCCCACGCCCACCAGCTCAACCGGGTAGGTGGTGTCTTCATCCAGCGCTAAGCTGGTGACCCGAACTGAGTGTGCGTTGCTGAAGATGGGGTATCTGGTCACTCGATCCATCTCAAGGGGTCTGGGTGTGACTTTCCTCCTGTGGGTTGGAAATCTCCAAGCTCACTTTGTGGGGAGAAGGAGATCATGTTAGACCACCTGGGAACAGGGACAGAGTCAGGGGTATAGTGTCCTGACAAGCAAAGCTTCTGGAGAGCAATTCCAATCCTAACAAAACATTTAAGCTCCTGGATCAAACTGTACCTGAAACCCTAAGTATCTGTGGCTCACACAACAAACATTTTCTTATCTAATCTCTTTATTCTTTTCTTCTTCTCCTTTCTTCCTTTCTTCCTTCCTTCCTTCTTTTGCTCCCTCCCTCTGTTCTTTCTCTTCCTTCTTTCCTTCGAACTGAAGACAAGGGGCCCAATTTTGTCTCTGCCCTGAGGCGAACCTGGGAACTGAGAAGTGAAGCCCTTCCTTCCTTCCTTTCTGAGACATGCTTTCATTCTGTAAACCAGGCTGTGTCAGACTTGTAACAATCCTCCTGCCTCAGCCACCCAACTGCTGGGATGACAGGCGCCTCCTTCACACCCAACTGCCTGCCAACTCTCTCGTAGGCACAGCTGCCCACTCATCTCCTAGTCTGTAGGCTGAGCCTCTGCTGTTGCTCCATCCTGCCTACCCTTACCCTGTCCTCCTGAACCAAAGTCAGCCTTACACCTGGCACTGCGGGGAAGCCCCCATCATGTCCCTCCTCTTTAAGGCACGGCCCTGGTCCCTCACATTAACTCCCAGATGGACACTTACTTGCCGTCTTTGCACCTGACCTTCACAGACAGCCATTGGGCTCTGGTCCTTGGCAATGGATGGTGCCAAGAGGGGACAGTGAGGCTCAGAGTGTAGCAAAGCCTGTTTCCCAGTTCCCACAGCTGGGATCTCTGTCCCAAAGAGCCCCTGGTCACATCTCACAGCACCTGCCTCAGAACCACAGAGCAGGGAGAGGTTGGGAGTGCCTTGGACCTTGCTCCTAGGTGGGGCTCAGAGTGGGATGTGACACCTTGACCTGGTATCTGGGGCCCAGCCTTTGCCCCAGCTCCTTCCCAGCACTCGCGGCTGCTTTCGCTTTTGTTTCTTCAGTCTCCTGGAGTCTGCAGTGCAGCTCTGGAGCCTCACAACCGGACTCCACACAGCCCAGAGCAGCACCAGTGTCAGCAAGTGTGCACAGGTAAACCACGGCCCTAGCCCCTTGCTGGCCCTCCAGCCTTGGGCCCTACCCTTAGCCGTTCTTTGTGTTTTGAAGCCAGGCTTGCCCAGCACTCCTAGCAATCCTGTGGAAGGTAATCCCTGTGCTGCCCACACTTTACTTTTCTCTTCACGGTTCTTCTGAGAGTGGGATAATTCCATTCTGCATGGGTGGATATTTCTAATGCATACAGCAAGCACTTAATTAGGACTGGCTCAGTGAACCCGGCTGTTCCTGGGTGCCCAGTCACTAGGCTCCCTTCCAGCTCTCTCCCATCTTCCAGCCTGGAGCTGCTGTGTGCTAACATGTTTGTGTGCCGAGGGCTGTACAGTATTTTATGGTCTTTGTCATGGGACAGTCAGACAGAACCTCTAGAGAAAGGGTGTCAGCCCTTTATAGGTGGGGCCTCATTCTTTCCCTGTGATTCAGATCAGAGGGTGGAGCTCTGGGTTGGGATTCAAGGCCACTGAGCTGCTCTTTGTTATGGGCTTGGCTAGGACAGTCTTACCGAGGATCTGCTGGGTCTAGTGATCAACTCCAGTAACCCCAGCACTTGGGATACAGAGGCAGGAGGATCCCTGTGAGGTCTAGGCCAGCCAGGGCTACATAGAGAGACCCTGCCTCAAAAAAAAAACAAAAACAAAAACAAAAAACAAAAACAACCCCCCACAAAAAAACAGAAAATAAACAACAGAACTTAATTCAGCTCCAGGTGCCTGGTGTACAGTAAACACTCAATAGTTGCTTCACAGTGGCTGTAGGTCTGATCCCTGAAGCTCCGAATCCAACAGGGGTCTCAGGATCTCCTAAGGAGCCAGCCACTCTGCTTAGTCATCATCAGTCACCTCACACCCTATTCAGGGCTTCTTCAAACTGAGGACAGGGGCCCAATTTTGTCTCTGCCCTGAGGCGAACCTGGGAACTGAGAAGTGAAGCCCTTTCCTCCTCCTCTGCCAAGAAGCCTGCTCCACCCAGCCGCACCCTGGAACTTCCACTCTCTATTGAAACTGGCTTTATGGTCCCTGTGGGCCCACCTGCTTCCTCTGGCCTCTTACCCACGGGGCAAAGGTTCCTTAGTGGGGCCATTGGGTCACCTAGTAGGGCTATGCCCTTAGGAGTCCGATCTCCTTTCCCTCAGGGCCTTCTTGTGGCTGGGATAGTTGGCCCTGGGGAAGTCCCGTCAAGGTTGACCCCTGACCCTAGACCCTAAACCAGCCTGCGCCTGGTCAGGCAGCGGCTCCTCTGGTTTCTTCCTATCAGGCCCTGAATCCATGAGGGTGTCTATGGCGCCAGCCTCCTGCTAGTGAACTGGGTTTCCGGGTTCTGGCATTTGGATGCAGATGGAAGCCTTATCAACATTAGAACCAGAGTTTCTTTAGAGTTAGCTGGTGACAGAGCCGGTTCTCAGATCCAGGAGGACAACACGGTGCCCGAGGCATCGCCAACGGTGGTGAGGTACAGACGGGACGGGGCGGGGTTCCCTGGGTCCCCCTGTAGGGAGCCAATCTTGCTATGGGCGCACCTCAAACAGGCCCCAACTCCTTCTGTGAGGCCCTCTTCCTTCCCCAACCTCCCCCCCACCCCCCTGGCCTCCCTGCGTTCCCAGCCTCACCTGCCAGCTCCAGGTGCCCAGGCCGCCTGCCTCCCAGCCTCAGGCTCTGTCCTCTGCAGGGAGGCCCCTGGGCTCCGCCCTGGCCACATGTTGCCAAGGGGACGGAGGCCCCACCCGGGAGCAGGTGCGCCCCTCCTCTCCATCCCCACCCGGACTTGGGAAACAAAGTCCAGAGAAGACAGAAAAACGATACTCAGGCTGATGAGGGCGGGCACAGTGCCCGCTGCAGGCCTTGGCCTCACGGAGCCGGAACTGAGCCTGGGCCTGTCTTCCCCAACTTTCCCAGTGCTGCTGACAGGGGGCTAGCCCTGTCTAGGGCCCCATGAAAGCCTGTTGCTTCCATGGAATAGGAGACTGAATCCCAAGCCTGGTCTGGTTTCTGGGACCCCTTTGAAGGTCTGTCTCTTCTTTCAATCAATGCCCACTTTGATCCAGGGAGACTGGAGAACAGATATGCATGATGTTTCCAGCCTAGATGTACCAGGACTGGAATTATGAAAGTCAGGGTGAAAGTCTCAAGTTGCTGTTCTCTGGGAGGGGTCAGTGGGGCTTCCTGTTGGATCCTGCCCAACTCTCTGAGCCTTGTTTTTTCATCCAGGAAATGGGAATTCTCTGTGTCACATTCACACAAAAATTCACATGAAATAATGAAGCTTTCAGAAACACCCAGCAGAGCCAGGTGCAGAGAAACAGGCCTATCACTCCAGCACTGAGGCAGTGAGACAGTGCTATTTGAGGCCAGCCTTGGCTACAGCAAGAGACTACTCTCAAAAACTCAAAAATAAACAAACTAAATGCCCAGGAGCATTGGCCAGATAGGTGAGGCGTAGACCCCAACGCAATGAGAAGAGGCAATGGCCAAAGCAAGCAACATTCCCGAGGGGTCCAGGTGGCTCTGTGGGACCTGAGCACACAGTGCGGGGGGGGGGGGGGGTTCCTGACTTTCCCTCAGGGCAGGCTTGTGGCCCCTCTGAATCTCTTTTCTTCCAGTCACTAAGCCCCAAGGGGAGCTTGCCCCCAGGGGAACTTGAGGGATGTGGTAACAGAGCCTGTCTACCACATACCACCGCAGGGAGGTCAAAGCCAGGCTAAGGGCTGTTCTCCCCAGTGCCCCCTCCAGCCCCTTCACCCTGTAAGCCGAAGTGAACATTGACATGCAAGGCACATCCAGTCCCACAGGTCAGTGGGATTTGAATTAGCACCCCTCTCCCCACATCTTAGGCATTCCACAATACAAACCACCTTTCACAGGGAAACTGAGTCTGAAAGTGGCCCCAGACTGATCCCACACACCTGACCTCTCTGAACTCCGGAAACTGAAGCAGGAGGATCGCTGCGAGTTTGAGGCCAGTTTGGGTTACACAGACTCTTTCTAAAGCCTAGAATACCTTGTTAGGAACACAGGACTCCTAGCCAGCTCTTCTATATAAATAGGGAAACTGAGGCCAAAGGAGAAACTTTTCTCCAAGACCAGAGAAAGAGAGAAAAAAGAACGTGAGTCTCCCCTACTCCCCAGAGCTTGTTGGGTGTCTGTGGGGACCTCTATCCCCAACATCACAGCCCAAGGACATGGCTTTGGCTGATGTGGAGATCAAGGCCCTTGGGGTGGCTGCCCACAGCTGTCCCTCACCTGTCCCTCACCTGTTCGGGCGCTGCAGAGTCCTGGGCAAGATCCACAGTGAGGGGCTCAACCTGAAGGGGCAGCAGCCACGCGGGAGGTAAGTGTCCCCTGTCCTGCTGGACCTGGCCTTTTTATGGCTCCACCACCAGGAGGCCACACCTCTTCCCGCCCAGGTGAAACCCAAGAACCGCAGCAACCTGGCTCTGCACTTTTTTTTTTTTTTTTTTAATTTGTTTCTCTGGGAAAGTCAAGAACATGGGGGTGAGGGGTGGGGCCTCGTCACACATCAAAAGCAGAGGGGGGCGGCAAGGGCACTTCAGCCAAGGCCCAGGGCATGAGGAACTCAGGCAGACTGGAAGGAGGAGGAAGAGGAAGGGGTGCCATGACCATGGCCGTGGGTCACCCGTCAGGGAAGCGCGTCTCCTCCAGGCCACGGGACAGAAAGGACACTGACCCCGAGGTCTCTGCTCGAGCTCTACTGCAGCTCGGGGGGGGGGGGCGGCAGGGGCCCCCAGGTGGTCCTGCGCCCTGCACACCAGGCTGGGGTCCCAAGGAGAGGGACCTAGACCCGGGTATGGTCCTCCGAAGCCAGGAGGGTGGAGAGGGCTGAGCCAGCTCCTGTGTGCAGGGCTGTGCCTCTGGGGACCCAGTGACTGCTGCCTGCCCAAAGGCAGGAGGCTTCCTGCCATGGCTCCATCGCCAGGTAGCAGATGGGGGTCCCTCCCGCCCACCCAAGGTGTGTTCGGGCAACCTAAGCCTGCCTGGAAATGCCAGGCTCTGCAGGCTGGCAGACATAACCCCTGGCTTCTGGGGTATGTGGGAAACCCAGGACCCTGGTCCAAGCCAACTGGAGAAGAGGGCACAGGTGACCCCAAGGGTCCCAAAATTAGCACCAGGAAGAAGGGACCAGTGTGTGCATGGTAGGGGGGACTCAGGACAGGGAGCGGCTGACTTAGAGCTTTGCCAACAATGACCCCATCTTGGGAACGATGGTTCCATCCCCAGCGAAGGGATGCCCCCTGTTTTGAGCTCCGCTACCTACTGGGGGGGGGGTAGCCACATGTGCCCGTCCTCTACCCTAGGACTTCAGGATTTTGAGACCCAAAGAAGTGTGGCCTCACCCCGCCTGCCCCACATTAGGCCGCTGGCGCACTGCCCAGGGAGACCCTCTTTTCTGGTCCCCTGGAGATGGCCCCTAAGTAGCAATAAGGCACAGACAGGCTGGCCTGGGGCGGCAAGAGAACACCAGGCTGAGACCATGGTGGGGTGAGCCGCCTGTGTAAACCTGCTGTGACCAGGAGTGGGGGTCCCCATTCTTAGGGAGCTGATATGGGTCAGCCGGTCTCTCACCAAGGGGAAACGCACGGCTCAGAGGTTAGGGATGAGTGTGGAGTGTGGTGACGGGCAGAGCACCCCCCCACCCACTACTTGAAGTGCATAGGGACCACACACATGTCTGGGGCCCGTGAGGCGGAGGGCGAGGGTGGGCAGGCGCCTGGGAGGGCCGGGCTGCTGGGTTGAGTGTGGAGCACAGGGCGGGGACAGGGGCTGGGGCGCCCCGATGGTTCACATGACGGAACAACATCTACAGCGAGGCTTCTTCATGTCGAGATCCTGGGCATCGCTGGGGGTGGCCGTGGCCCCCGTCTGGTTCTCCTCCTTGGTAGCCGGGAGCTCAGCCGCGCTGCCGTTGAGGGGCGCAGGCTCCCTAGGTGTGGCCGCGTCTTCGATCACCACCAGTTCAGCCTTGATGGTGTCCTGCAGGCCCAGTACCTTCTTGGTCTCTGCTTCGTCTTCCACATTTTGATAACCCATGAAGACCATGGTGACTGGGGGCTCCTGGCCGGGCTGGATGCCCGGTGGGCCTGACGTGGCCTCTCCCGGTTGGGCCTCAACGCCTGTGATCTCCCTCCTGGACGGCGTGGTCCTGGTGGTGTCCTCTGCGAGTCCCCTAGGCTCTGCTGGCCCCGCTGTGGAACCCACCTCGCTCAGCGTGACCTCATCGGCCTTGTGAATGAGTTCGTCCACCTCGGAAGAGCTGAGAGGCTGGATTCCATTCTCAGCGATGCCATCCACAGCATGGACCACTGCGTGGAGACACACATAGAGTTAGCTGGGGGATGCAAGGGCAGAGACGGGAGGCCAAGGAAGACACCCACCATGACATTCAGCTCTTGTGGTACACACCTGTCATTCCAGCGCTCAAGGAGACTGAGGCAGGAGGATCGCCAGGAGTTTCAGTCCCGGCTTCCTGAGCGCTGGGACAACAGGTGTGCACCCCCAGGCCTGGCTCTCACTGAGTTGTGGTGAGCTAAGGCCAGAGTCTCCTCGTCAAGGGGAGCGGTTGTCTACAGACCCAGCGCAACCCTGGATCTCAGCTAGGCAAACTTCCCTGGGATCCTAGACTGGAGGGGGCAGCCGGGGTGGCCCCAAAGATCCACTGAAGGACCAGGGCCATCCCCAACCCCCAGACGTCAGCGTCCCACCCTCTGTAAGAGAGTCCCTGTGCCTGGCTTCTTGGTGACACTGGGAGGGCAGAGGGTGGGGTCAAATCTCTCCCCTGGGCCTGGGCTCCTAAAAGGAGAAGCCAAGCCACCAATCTCCATGGAAACAGATCCCCTGCGGTTGCTAAGCAACCAGGCTCCAGTCTAGCTGGTTCTGGGTCCCCAGGGAGACTGCGGAGGTGGGTGGAATGGCCCAGGGAGAGATGTTGGAGCCACTCCGGGAGAAGCACAGTGCAATGGATCCCGGCTTCACTGTCCTCCACAGAGGAAGCCCAACTCCAGCCACACCCAGTACCGGACATACACAGCAGAGTCCTTCCACACACTGGATTATCTACCGTACGGCCACCAAAAGGAGTGAGGCACACGCCATGCGCTCAGCGAGAAACCCATACACAAAAAGACCACATAGTCTGGGACTCCATGGTAGGAAATGTCCAAAGTAGTCCAGTGCGGAGACGGAGGTGGAATGGGATAGGTGATGACTCATGGGGATGGGGGCTTCTTTTGGGGTAATGGGATGTTCTGAAAGTAAGTAAAAATACTGTACACCAGGGACCAAAGCTCATAAATCACAAACTGTAAAAAGGGGAATTATAGGGTATGTATTTAGTTCTGAAAAGAGGATGAGGTGGGGACCAGTTCGCCTTTATTGCTCCTGCTAAGAAAAATGTCCCAGATTAGATGTACTCTAGTTTCCTCAAGATCACTTCCCTACAGCTCAGTCCTGGAAAACACCTATAAAACCAGTCAGGAATACCAGCCTATAACCCCCTCACCCCCTTAAGTGAGGGCTGGGGGTGTGGCCAAGTGGAGCCCCGCCTAGAATCCCCCAGTGAGAGGCTAGGGCCATGGCTTAGTCGTTAGCCCTGGCTTAGCATTCTGGAGGCCCTGATTTCTGTCCCTAGCATCACAAACACATAAAATCTGATCCCTACCACCCAACAAACCTTCACCCAGGCCACACTTCGCTCTCAGGACACAGTCCCTTCTCCCCTGTAGCTCGCAGTATCCCCTTTGCAGTATCCTCCTTCTGTGTACCTCAGGGCCTTTGCAGGAGCTATGGCTCCTGCCAGGTGCTTTCTTCTCTTGGTTGTGCAACTGTGGGCCTCTGAGAAGCTCCCTCCCCACGCCGACTTTCTGAGCGGCAGGTTAAGAGCTGTGCAATGGCTGAACGTGCCTCGAGATTTCACTTTGGTGCTTAGCACGCAGCCCAGGTTCTGAACCCTGCTGGGTGCCCCTGCAGGAGGCACAGCTTCTCATACCTTTGGTTTCGTCCTCGTAGACTTTCACGCCCTGAGGAAGCGGGTCCCGGGGGAGCAGTGTGGTGCTGGATAACACCCTGGTCTCCCCGGTCACCTTGTCCTTCTCCACCGTGATCTCCACCGAGTACATGGCTGACACGAGAGGCACGGGGTTACCCCAGGACCCATCTGCCCTCGGGCGCCCCCCGCCGGGCTGTGGCCAAGCCAGGAAAGAAGGAGAGCAGCAGATCCAAGCAGCGATGGCGGTGACCCACCCAGAGGCAGCCCTGTCCACTCCAGACCCTTCCACAGCTCCCGTCTGCACTCTGCTCGGAACCCACAGCCCATGCTAACGTCCCAACCCAGGACACCACGTCCATCCGGGCCACCCGACTCCTCCTGGCCTCAGAGTCCTGCCTCTGCCTTTTGAGTGCTGGCATTGAAGGTGTGGTCACCACGCCTCCATGAGATCCATCTCAACAGCAGCTGCCCAGGCCCCGAGCGCTTCCCTGCCCGGAAGCCTCCTCCCGGGGCGACGACAGAGGCCGAACCCCGGCGGGGCGGTCACATCTACTGCACCACACAGCCCTCACACTGAACCGGACAGGGTTCCCAGGACCCCACTGCAGCCTGCTCTCTATTCTCTCATGGTTACCTTCAGAAACCTACAACTTTCCACTGCTGGTCCACGAAGCACCCCACCCACCCAGGCTGGAACCCAGCAGAGTTCCCTGGCCCAGAGGCCAACCTCAGCGCGGGTCTGTTCTCCATGCAGCCACCAGGGGGCACTTGTAGGCTGAGTGGGCAGCCCTGTTCTTCCCCAATGGTCCTCCTGGAAGCTCCAGGGCCCTAAAAATCACTTCCTCTTCCCAACTCCCCTCTCTTCTTTTTCTCACCCGGTTAACTGACCAGCCACTGGTACCACCGGAATGCCAACCCCCCCTTCCACGCCTGGCTCCATAAGCATATGTTGAATGAATAGCCATCGTTAATCATTTGTCTCTGTACCTACGTACCTACTCGCAAGGTAGCCGAGGCTGGGCAAAGTCACTGGCCTGAAGAAATACGGGAAGGGCCAGATCTAGTGTTACAACATTGTTTCTGAAGGCACCTTCTGAATTAAAGACTGTCCCTAGGCCTCCTGAACCTGAACTCCGCAAGAAATTCTAGGTCTCCCGAGCTCCTCCCTTCCCCAGGACACTGGCAGACTTGTGACAGCCTAGTCACCAACTCTTTCTGGGTTTTGGGTACGGAACACGTCAGATCCTACATGAGGCCAGTGTGATGCCGAGACCCCTGGAGCAGGCAGGATGTGATGTAAGCGTGTTCAGGCGTGTGGAAGCAGGTTCAGCCTGTGTGCCCCCGCCAGGCCCCCAGGCTGAGGTTAGGAATGGAAGCCTAGGGGCATGGGTTAGAGCCCCATGCTGGGCCCGTCTTCTCGGAGAAGACTGGGCCAGTGGGCGTGTCACAGCAAAGCAGGTGGGCACCGAGGTCACAAGACACTTTGCCAGCCCCGCCCTCCAGATGCAGAGTTTCAGCTGGCAGTTAGACACTAGTGGGCAGTGGGGGCTGACCCACCTGCCTTCATCATGGCGGATCCCCCCGGACTCCTCACTGGAGTGGAGGACATTCGAGGCTCTGCGCGGGGCACAGGGTGGAGAAAGAGATGGCGTCAGAGACTGGACTGCAGGACCAGACCCTGGTCCACAGACATCCACATACGGCCCGAACAATCAGACTCCCCAGAACATGTGCTGGAACCCCAAACTCCTTGACACACTTCACTTGAAGCCTCGGACCCCCCCCCCAACACATTCGCCTGCACCCCAGGCCCCAGACCTGTACATCAGAAACACTCAGATTTCTGACACAATCACCTGGGTCCCTAGCCGACACACTAGTATCCAAACACACGCCAGCACCCTCCAGGCCTGAGTGCCCGGGGTCCCTCACCCCCAAAGCTAGGCCGGCTCAGTCCCACAGACTTCTCATTGTTCAGCCCCAAAATGACTTTCACGAAATCCCTGAGAGGCCTGTGTGGATTTTCTTTTAATTATTAATTTTTAATTCTGCAGCAAGACTGGGAGACGTTCCCGATGGATAATTAACAGCAAATCAGGCCAGAGTCCTAGGGCCATCTTGACAGCTGTGCCAGATGCACTGGCCACGAAACACATGCTCAAAAGAGATCTTAAAAAAAATACAGAACAGAAGCTGGCCTTAAACTCACAGAGACCCGGCCCCGGCCTCTGCCTCCTGAGTTTTGGGATCAAAGGCTTAAGACACTACGCCTACCATACGTAATTTAAAAATCCTCCATTCAGCCAGGCATCGTGATGGCCGGGGGCAGAGGCAGCAGATCTCTGAGTCAGAGGCTAGCCTGGTCTACAGAGGGACTTCCAAACAGCCAGGGCTAAGGAGAGACCTGTTCTAATAATGAATGAATGACTAGGGCTGGGCTGGGCCTCAGGGGGCAGAGAGCTGGCCTGGCAAGCAGGAATCCCTGGTCCCAACCCCAGCACCACAGAAACCAGCCCAGCGCCACTGTTCACTGTCGGCCCCAGCACTAGGGAGGTGGAGGCTGGAGGATTAGGAGTTCAGGGTCATCCTCAGCTACAGTGAGTTTGAGGTTAGTCTGGGCTATATGAGACTTTTTGTTTTCCCAGACAGGGCTTCTCTGTGTAGCCCTGTCTGTCCTGTAGACCTGTCTGTCCTTTGTAGATCAGGCTGGCCTCAAACTCAGAGCTCTGCCGGCCTCTGCCTCCCGAGTGCTGGGATTAAAGGCCTGTGCCACCGTCTCCTGGCTATCTCTTAAATTTTTTTATGTGTGTGGTACATATACTTATTCGTGAGGGTGTGCACGGGAGTTCGAGAGCGCATACAAAAGCCCGAAGCTGACACCTGTGCCTCAGTTGCTTTCTGCCTTGCCGGGTATCTTTAAAGTTCATTGTATTTCACTTGGGTGCATATGCGCCTGTCTGTGCATGTCTGTGCAGGCTCAGGGGTAAGGGGCCCTGGAGGAGAAGCAGGCTTGCCCCAGCCTCCACCTTTCTCTCAGAGTCTGCTGAGCCAGCCTGCCAGGGAGCCCGGGATCCTCCTGCCTTGGCCTCCTGAGCACTGGTATGACAGGTGTGACATCTTACAGACGTTCAGCCAGAGCCTAGTAGGCTGGGGTTGACGTCACAGAGCGTGGATGTGGACCTGCCGGCCAGAGCTCTCTGGCCTGCCTCCAACCTGATCCTAGCCCGTGCTGAGCCCCCTCCACTCTCACCCGCCACCCCAGCGCTCGCCACCAGAGGGCGCCAGAGACTGCATGTCTCAGCTGGAAGCTTACCTTTTGGGGTGCCCAACGGAGTCTGCAAGAGAAAGGAGAAAGATTAGAGCTATCCACTCCGCCTCCTGCACTGCCTTAAGCTCCACTCGACTGGAGAGTGGGGATGTGGGGCTGAGAGCCCTGGAGGGCCAGGCTCAGCCCTAGCGGGGGTGCAGCAAAAGCTGTCAATCTGTGCTTGGAGAACTCCTGGTCAACTTTCACAACCTTCCCTCTGGGAAGCGTGTTCACCCTCCACTTTAACCTAGCTGCTTCGGAGGAAGGGTGCATCTCCCAGCATCTCCCAACGCCCAGGTATTCCCCGATGGTAGGTCAGGTCCATTTCTGACCTGTGGTCCCCGATAATATACATGTACCAACAGGCAGGAGCCACCACTCAGCATTTGGTCTCCCCTAAACCAGAACAACACGCAACAAATAAGGGCTGGAGTAGGACTCCTTAAGAGCAGCAGGGGCACTTTCCCAGCATGCACCAGGCCTCGAGTTCATCCCCAGGCTGGCCCCTAAACATCTCCTGTCAGCTGTGTGGCCTGGAGCCAGACCTGTAACCTCTCTGGGCTCAGTCCTCCCTCCATCAAATGGAGGATTTATTTATTTATTTACTTATTTATTTATCTATCTATCTATCTATCTATCTATCTATCTATCTATCTATCTATTTACTTATTTTTCTTTTGTGACAGGGTCTTTCTGTGCAGCTCTGGTTGTCCTGAAACACACTTTGTAAACCAGGCTAGCCTCAAACTCACAGAGACCCGCCAACCTCTGTCTCCCAAGTGCTGGGATCAAAGGCGTGCGCCACCACTGCCCGGCTCCAAATTGCTTATTATAATTATGACTGGAAGCCGGGTGCGATGGCACAGGCCTGCAATCCCAGAACTCTGGGAGGCAGAAGCAGGTGGATCTTTGTGAGTTCGAGGCCAGCCTGCTCTAAAAACAAACAAACAAACAAACAAACAAACAAACAAAAAATCATACATTATGAGTTCGGAGAAGCAGTGTGTTGGCCACAGATGGGGAAATTATTCTCACCAGGAAGGTATGTATACAGTGCTTCCTTAGTTCAGGGACATGCACACAGTAGATGCTCAATAAAACACAGCATCAACAGGACAGCCCGCTCTACACAGCCATGCCAGGTAGCAGGGTCTGAGTTCTGGTGCCCGCACCCACATAAGAGCCAGGCACGGTAGTGCATGCCTGCACACCACGCAAGGGACGGCAGAGACAGGAGGATACTCGGGGTTCCTAGCTGAACTGTTGAGTCCAGGTTTAACGGAAGAACCTGCCTCAAAAATAAAACAATAAATAAATAATAAATAAAAGAGATTGGGTAGGGCTGGAGGGATGGCTCCTAGCCTAAGCACACTTGCACGGAGGACTCAATTCCAGTTCCCAGCACCCACATAGCGGCTCACGACCACCTGTAACTCCAGCTCCAGGGGACCTGGCGCCTTCTTCTGGCCTCCATGGTTACTGTACACATAGACACACATATAAACAAATAATTTAAAATAAGTCTTTTACTGGAGAGGACTGGAGCGCCACAAGGAGAGCAAAAGAACCAAAAAATCTGGACACGGGGTCTTTTCTGAGACTGATACTCTAACCAAGGACCATTCATGGAGATAACCTAGAACCCCTGCACAGATGTAGCCCATGGCAGTTCAGTGTCCAAGTGGGTTCCCTAGTAATGGGAACAGGGACTGTCTCTGACATGAACTCAGTGGCCGGCTCTTTGATCACCTCTCCCTGAGGCAGGGCAGCCTTGCCAGGCCACAGAGGATGACAATGAATCTAGTCCTGATGAGACCTGATGGGCGAGGGTCAGATGGAAGGGGAGGAGGACCTCCCCTCTCAGTGGACTTGGGGAGGGGTAAGGAGGAGATGAGGGAGGGAGGGTGGGATTGGGAGGGGATGAGGGAGGTGGCTACAGCTGGGATACAAAGTGAATAATAAATAAATTATACAAAGTGTAATAAATAAATAAAAACTTTTTAAGAAGTTATAGTAGTAAACTGTATTTTGAATAAATTTCAGCTTTCAAAAAGCCAAAAGCCATTTTAAACTGTGCCACTCCTATCTGTTAAGATCTTTTATATGTACAATGATGATGATGCTTCTCTCATGATAAAAATTAACAGAAATAAAAATGACAAATACTAAAAATAGATAGAATAGGTCTTTTAAAGCCAGGCCTAGTGGACACACCTTTAATCCCAGAGGCAGAGGCAGGTGCAGCTCTGTGAATTGGAGCTCAACTGGGGCAGACACACGACATCAGCTCCCGGCCTCTGAGTACATATGTACACCTGTGTGTTCACAGACATCTCACACACACACACACACCACAAATAGATAAAGACAACAGGAACAACCGGGTGTGGCCATGCAGGCCTGCTGAGAGCAATGCAGGGAGAGCCTGAGCCTGAGTGAGTCTCAGAAGATCCCAAACTGGGATCAGCGAGACAGTGGCTCCTGGGGAAAAGGCACCTGCCACCAAATCAAAGAAAGACCCAAGTTCCATCCCTGGGACTCACATAAAGGTTGAAATGATAGACCTGGCTCCACAGAGGGAATTCGTGCACTCCACAATACTGTAAGCGAACAAGTAATTAAGACCAGGAATACTTCAAGGCCAGCCTGGTCTACAGATAGAGTTCCAGGACAGCCAGGGCTACACAGAGAGACCCTGTCTTGAAAAGCAAAACAAGGAGCTGGAGAGATGGCTCAGGGGTTAAGAGCTCTTCCAGAGGTCCTGAGTTCAACTCCCAGCAACCACATGGTGGCTCACAGCCATCTATAGTGAGACCTGGTGCCCTCTTCTGGCATGTAGGCAGAACACTATATACACAATAAATAAATCTTTAAAATGGCTCAGTTCTTGGGTGCTTCTCTACCATGTCTCAGGTCCTGGGTTCAATGCATGAGGGCCCCAAAAGAAAGAAAACAATTTAAAAAAATATAAAAAAAGAAAGAAAGAAAACAAACTGAAAATGGAAAAAATAGCAGAAAGGAAAATCTGAGGGTAGGTCCACCTCAGGCCAAGGCCTGACTGTCCACTAATTCATCAGACTGTTATACAATCACATACAGACAGGCACGATTGCCTCCACATGTAGGAAACTGAAGCCCGGAGAGGCCAAGGGACACCTCTCACCACCTTGCACGGAGGACAGCCTTTCCTTTTCTCACCTGCTGAGAATTCACCAGTGCTTCTGGCTTCTGCTCTTCCTTGGCTGGGCTTGCAGCCGGGGGCCGGACTGGGCTGGGGGCTGCTGAATTCTCCTTTGGGGCAGCTGGGGCTGACTCTCCAAACTCCAGGACATCAATTTCCTTCTCCAGCCTGTAGAGGGGTAACACAGTGGCTCCTCAAATTTAGCTTTTCGGTTTTTCGAAACAGGGTTTCTCTGTGTAGCCCCGGCCGTCCTGGAGCTCTCTCTGGAACCAGGCTGGCCTGGAACTCGGAGATCCGCCTGCCTCTGCCTCCCAAGGCGCCACCACCACCTGGTACATTCACTTATTACGTTGCATCTGTGTGCTCCCGCCGGTGACCTCCACCGTGTGAGCTCTGAAGACAGAACTCAGGTTTTAAGTTCGGCAGCAAGCTCTCTGCTCACGGAGCCAGCCCATCGGGCCTACATTTTGGTTTTTACCACAGGGACTTGCTATGCAGCCACAGTCAGCCGGCAGGGCTGCTGGTCCTGCGATCTAAGTTGCTTCCAACAAACTCCCCTTCCTTGTTTTCCCGCTCAAAACCTGACAGGAAATGTTAGCTTTGTAGGGACAGTGGAAAAACATATGTCACTGTCACAAACAAGACCTCCCCCCCCCCCAAAAAAAAAAACAACTAGAGCAGAGCCAGGCCATGGTAATGTGCCAATGTCCTACCAGTGCTAGGCGGGATGAGGAGGGAGGATTGCGGCCAGTTTTAGGTCAGTCTGAGCTACAGAGATCCCGGTTCAAAAAGCAAAACCGACAAAAAGTCAAGAATTTTTAAACAATGAGGTAGGACGGAGGCAATGAGGGGCTGGGGACGTGGTCAGGGTGGAGCCTAAATCCCCCTTGGGGAGTTGGGGGCGTGGTCGGACTGCAGCCCCGCCCAGAATCCCCAGTGAGGGGCTGGGGGCGTGGTCAGAGGTCTAGGCCTAGGTTGTTGAAGGCCTTAGTTCCAATCTAGAGCAAGAACCTCAGAACACCCTCAATGGGAGCCCTGACTGGTTCCTAGGAAGGAAGAGGGAAGCCCAGGGAGACAGGTGGTTGCACTCCGCTCCCCTCACATGCAGGAGAGCCCCAAAAGCTATCTTTATCTGCTCCACCTGGACAGGGAAATGCCGGCTAACCCCATAGATAGGGCCTCCCATGGCCAGGCTGAATTCATATAGGGGGCCCTTCCTTGCTTTCGGGCAATGTTTAAGTTAGTCATTTCCTTCTCCCCACTACTGCTGTTCTCCAAGCCAGACCCCCACCCCCGCCCCCATCCCTACTCCCACCCCCACCCCAGGCAGCTTATGTTTTGTTCCAGCCCCCACGGGAAGGCTACTCTCCCTATCCGTAAAGCACCCCCCCCCCAGCTTCCTGCGGGCCCAGCTGCCTCTGTGGTCTCTATTAGGGCTGCAAAGGCCAGCTGGGGTGGCGACAGGAAGCACTCAGGGAGGCTGGTGACGGCAGCTCCCTTCCTGAGGGACTTCTGCTTGCCAGGCCTCACGCCTGCTCCTGCAAGCGTGGGGATGTCTTGGAGGAGAAGACCCAAGGTAAGGTCGGCCTCCCTGTCCACACCGCTTGCAGCTGGATAACGGGTACTGTGTGTGACCCTCCCTCCGTGAGGTACAGAGAAAGGTCCACACTCCGACACCTTATGGGGGCTCCAGAGGTGTCCCAGGCCCTGTGTCACCCGGACGGGGCCCTTCCCCTAATACCCACCTGGCGATGGACTCCTCGAGGACCCGGGCCTTCTGCTCGTCTTCCTGCATCTGCTTCCTCATGTCTTCATCACCCTCTGAAGCCGAGGACGGTGTCCCCTCCAGCAGCCAGCGTTCCCGCAGTGCCTTGGACTGAGGTGGCAGGGCCGTTGGTTGGGTAGGAGAGTTATGACTGGGGTCAGTGTTGGGGCTGAGGTCAGTCAGGGCCATGGAGGTCATAAGTGAGGTTACAGTGACCTTCGCCCCATCCCAAGGTCACAGATTGCTAGTAGTCGCATGCGGGCCCCACACAGAACTGCACAGACCCACCATAGAGAAACAGTCCGCAGAGGCCTGGGTCCACCCCAAAGACCAGGGTTCAAACAGACCGCCCACGCCGCCCCCTGACCCCACCTTCAGGTACTGCAGCTGCCTCCTGTCATCCTCCAATTGTCTCCGCTTGCTCTCAATCTCTGCCTGCTTCCTCCTCTTCTCCTGTGGGTGCAGACCAGGTCAGGACAGCCAGGGTCCCCAGATTCACACCCGTGTGACCCAGGAGACCCAGCAACCCTGTGAACTGTACCCAACACAGACAGGGGACCCATACGGACATGGGGGCAGTCGCAGACTGTGGGCCTGAGTTGTGATAAATACCAGCCTCAGTTTCCCCACCTGTCCCCCAAGGGAACCAAAGGTCATACGAAAACAAAAGGGCCTCTGTTTCCATTTCTGGGGAACCCTACTAGCTGCATCCAAGTTTTGAGTTGTGCACAGAGAAGCCTGAAATCTCACCCTGCCCGCCCTACTCATAACCCCAGGTCCACTGAGGGAGGAACTCACAGCAATGGCCTGAAGCCGCTCTTGCTGGGACGCAGTGTCGGTTGCCAGGACCCTACACAGAGGAGACAAAGTCAGATCCTTAACCAGCCAGCCCAGGGCCACCCCTCTCCTCCCTGGCTCCCTCAGGCTTTGCCTAGAGACCTGGGATGGGCATAGGGAAAGGGGACATTAGGAAAGGCGTGGGCCATGAAGGACACATAAGTCACCAGGCAACAAAATTGAAGAGGGTGTCACCTTCCAGGACAGACCAGAGGACAGGACGCGTCAAGCTAATACCCAGGGACCCTCCCCTCAACCAAATCAGGCACAGGAAGGATCAAGGATCCCCAGTCCTCTGTCAGCCTCCCAACCCTGCAAAGTAAACAACAGAATGGTAGGGTGTCAAAGCAGCCCTGGACAGACAGAGAGCGAGTTTCCCCAGAACACACAGCAAAGGGTCTGCAAAGCCAAGCTCGTCTCCGTCCTGTTCCCGAGATGAGACAGACGGCCATCCGAAAGGGTCGGGCTCTGTCACCTTCCCCACATTCCTGATTCCTTATCTTCACAGACTCAAATTACAGCCATGTTCAGCACCCTTGGCCTGCAGTCAGGCTTCCCACAATCCCTGCGTAAGCCTTCTCTGTACCTCTCTGGGCCTCAGTTTCCCCATCTGTGCAACTCAGGAACAGGAGACAGAGCTAGCTCTGAGCTTGCCTAGGACTGGAGCAGGGAGATGGCCCTACAGCCCCCATCGGTGAACTGCCTTAGCTGAGACTGTCCAGCCCAGACAACCTGGAGCCAGCCGTACCTCTCCACCCCCAACTCTTGGGTTTAGTTTCCTGACCTCACTGAGGCCTGTGAAGTGACCTGGCTCCCACGCCCTGACAGGTGACCCTGTCCAGCTGCTCCCTTCCTGGCAGGAAGCACCTTCTCCTCTCAGTACCTCCTGGGGCCTAGTGGTGAGAACACACTCTGATTTATCTATTTTTACAGGCCTGAGGATGGAATCCAGGACCTGGGACCTGATAAGCAGGGCCTCCACCCCTGACCACACCACAAGACCCTCACTGGGGCATTCTAGGCGGGGCTCCACCCTTGACCAAGCCCCCAGTCCCTCACCGGTAAAGTCTAGATTGGACTTCAAGCTGACCACGACCCCACCCCTAGTTTTTACTGTGTGTGTGTACGTGTACGTATGTACGTGTATTTGTACACAGATATAGGTGTGGAAGCCAGAGGCCAATTTTGGGTGTCAGTCACCACTCAGCTTGATTTTTTTTTTTTTTTTTTTTAGTTTTTTCGAGACAAGGTTTCTCTATGTAGCTTTGGCTGTCCTGGACTCCCTTTGTAGACCAGATTCTCAGAGAGATCTGCCTGCCTCCACCTGGGATTAGAGGCATGGGCCAGCACCCAGACTGATTTTTTTTTTAAATGTGCATTGGCCTTTTGACTGGATGTATATCTGTGAAGGTGTCAGATCCCCTGGAACAGGAGTTACAGACAGTTGCCATGTGGGTGCTGGGAATTGAACTGGGGTCCTCTGGAAGAGCAGCCAGTGATCTTAACCACTGAGCCATCTCTCCAGCCTCCAGCTTGATTTTTAAGACAGGGTTTGTTAGGCTGGCTAGCCAGGCCAACTCTCCACAGGCCACCACACCACCACACCTGGCTTTAAGGTGGGTGCTGGGATTGAACTCGGGTCCTATTGTACAGGCAACACTTTAGCAACTGAAGTACTCCCCCTGCCCTACAGTGAGATGGGGTCTCACTAAGTTGCCCATATTGGCTTGAAACATGAGATCCTCCTATCTCAGCCTTCTGCGTCCCTGAGTGCTTTCGACCTGGATTCGGGAAAGCCTGGACCCAGTTTTCCTTGGAGGACATCGCTTAGGGCTAGCCGGAAGCTGAGTTTTCCTTGCCTATTTTCTCCCTCGAGACCCACCTCTTACTTCCTCACAGCCCAGACTTCTGCTGTCCACTCTGCCTCCCAGCAACCCCTTCTCCTCTACACCCAGCCACCCAAACTACGCCATCATAGCAATGATCAGACCCTGCCTCTCTTCTTGGCAAGAGACACTCCCCAACCCATCCGGTGTGGTGTGGCATAACCCATGTCTACCTGCTTGCTCCTGACCCCAGGCTATTCCCCAGGTCCTCTGCATTTCCCGGGAGCCTCCTGCCAAGCTCTCCCTAAGGCAGAAGAAGAGGAAGAAGAAGAAGAAGAAGAAGAAGGAGGAGGAGGAGGAGGAGGAGGAGGAGGAGGAGGAGGAGGACTCGCAGAGAGGGCAGCTGGAGGCTGCTCTGCATTCTCTCCCTTTCCCTTCTAGGTAGCGCACAGAGGTGAGAAGTCCCTCTCCTCAGTTGTGGCTTCTCTATTCCCAGCCCCCTGAGAGAGGCGGGATACACAGTGAATTCCCAGCCAGGCAGAGCTACACACTGAGACTCTATTTACAAACAGAATAGAAAAGATTAAAGACCCTGGAGGCGGGGCACGCTGAGCTACCCACCCAGTATGCCATTCCCCCCAACTAAGAGTCAGGTGGCCATTCAGGCCGGGCAAAGGGACAGCTGTGTAGCCGGTGGGTGGGTGGGAAAACAAGGCGGTCAGTGTCCTCAGCTGGACGGCCTGTCCCCAGTCCCGAGCCGGACAACAGTCAGGCGGACATAGCTAGCGGGCAGACATAGAGACAATGTTCAGCCGGCCCAAGAAGGCAACTTCCATCCCTCATCCCTCCCATCTCCATATTGTCACTGTGTGGTCATAAGTACAGGCGCGCAGCTGAGCTCCTCCCGAGCCCCTCCCCACCCCCGGGCGCCACTGCTGTGATGGATGGTGAGCCCGCGGGAGGCGGTTGCCCTGGCAACCTCACTGTCCCCATGGCAACGCGAGGCCCTGCGTGTGGAGGTGGGGCCTGTGCTGAACATCCACCCCCGTCCAGTGCTGGGGGGCTGCGAGGCTTCCACTAGCTTTGCGGGGGGGGGGGCGGAGGGAAGGGCGCTTTTCTCCCATTTTGGTTTTTGGTGTGCCCCCGCATCCCTCTAAGAAGGGGAAGGGTCTGGACCAGGCAGTGAAGGTTAAGAGGCAAGAAACATGCACATCATTAAGCTCATTTCATAGCTAGAGGCCCATGCCTGTGATTTCAGCAACAGAGACCAAGGCAGGAAGATCGTGAGTTCAAAGGCAGCCTGGAAAACTGGCTTCAAAATTCTGAGTAAAAAGAGAGTTTGGGTGGGAACGCCTCAAACATGCAAGAGGCCTGGGTCATCATAGCACTCAGGAGGTTGGGGTTGAGGGGGATCAGTTCAAGTTCATCCCTAGCTACATAGTGAGTTTGGGGCCAGCCTGGGCTATGTAGGACCTATCTCCAAAGCTAAAAATAAGCTGGGATACGGTGGTGAAAGCCTTTAATCTCAGCGGGCGGGTCTGGAGTTCAAGGCCAGCCTGGTCTGTAGATCGAGTTCCAGGACAGAGAAATACTGCCTCGAAAAACTCTAAAATAAATAAATAGTATTAATTTTTTTTTGTGTGTGTGTGGGTGTGTGTGCATGCGTGCGTGCATGCGTGTGTGCGTGTACATGCAAGCACCTGCAAGTGTAGTGGCTGATGTCTGTCATCCCTGTGCTTGAGAAGCTGAGGCAGGAAACTTTCAGTAAGCCGAGGCCAGCTTAGGCTACACAGACACTGAGAGAAGCCTGGTGAAATGACCTTTGGCCTCCGGCGGGGGCTGGGAAACACCAAACAGAGGCCATATCGCCAAAGGTCCTACATATGCATGCACTTAGAAGCTGATTTTTTTAGTGACGTGGAAGACACGTTTAGTGTCTGTGTGTCCCCAGACAGGTGACTTGTGTTCTCTGAGCCTGTCCCGCCGCCTCTGGGGACAGTGGGCAGCAGCTGGGAGCTGTTTACAGAGCAGCCCATGCCCACTCAGACTGCAGCTCAGGGAGTGGCACCCTAGGGAGTCTTCTCAGGCACTTAGAGGTAGACCTGGGCTCCTTTGTTGCTGTGTGTGGGTGGCTGAGGACCAGGGAGGGCGTCGTTTCCCAGCTCCTGAGATAATTCAGCTCCAGATGAGATAATAGGAATCCAGTGACAGCCTAGCCCAAGCCTTGGCTTCCAGTTTTGTTTTTGCAAGGCCCAGAGAGGTTATGCAACAGGCCCAAGGTCACCCAGTGGACAGGGAGGCCTGGGCAGGGATAGGAGATGGGTGTGTGTATGTGTGTATGGGGGGGGGTTGTTGGCCTGTGCAGCTCCAGTGTCCAGCAGGACAGCAATGAGAGGGATCAAGCTGGTCAGGCGTGGAGCCCAGCTCCCAGAACATTCCTGAGGCTAAATGAAAGGAAAGTGCTGATGGTGACCTTGGCCAGGAGGGGAGGGGGCCGCCACCAGAGCTGGTGAGAGGAGACTGATGGGAGGAGGGCAGCCCTTTCCCGCTGAGGACACCAGCCTGGGGCTGCCTAACCCACTTAAGACCTCTCTCCAGGGTACCCTGTGTCTCCTCGACACAGTATTTGATACCTTCAGACCTGAAAAGCAAAGGCTTTTCCCAGCTTGCTCCAAACCCTAACCAAGCCTTTGCCCTCAGGCTGGCCTCCCCTGCCCTTCATCAGCGTCAGACTTTCCACCTCCAGGCTAAACTGGGCACAGCTTCTTCCCCCAGGGGGGGCCCTCCAGGGACTCTCCTAATCTCCCAACTCGGGACCACAGCAGCATCAGGCTGGGCAGTACAGAGGCAGTCCCTCCCCAGCATTGGAGAGGAGGCCAGGGCAGGCCAGTGCCAGGGGAATGGACATGTTGGCTATTAACCTGCGGTTGGAGGAGAAGCTGTACCTCACCCTGGATCCTCACAGATGAACAGGAACTCCGGCATATTCTAATGCAAAGACTGCTCTGGGAAGACCAACACGGCCGGCCAGCAACAATTGTCAGACATTTGGGACCCGCTGTGCACCCCCCCCTCGCCCACTTGGTCAGTCTCCCCAGGTCTCCACAGGCCAAGCTCCTTACCCAGGCCTCCCCTGACCTTCTTAATTTGCAACCTCAAACGCTTTTACCACCACAGCACATGCTGA